TAATAAAAGTCAAATTAAGATTTTAAAGTGATCCAACATGCTTCCAAATGACTGGCACAAGCAAATGTAAAACTCTGTGGAGGAACTCACCTTTAACCCAGGCTTTGAAAAACTCCATAGAGAATAGTTCTAAGAAGATATAAGTTCACATTAATGAATCACCAAACATTTAAATAAAGATAGCTAGCAGAAATAATAGACAACAAAATCAGAGCAGCAAATACTTGACATGTCAAAATTATCAGAAATTAAGTATGAAATACATGTTTAAAACATGTAAGAAAATAAAAAAAAATTAAAAATACAGGAACTCCAAAAATGATCAAACGCACTTGAAGACAGACAAAATATAACCTCTAGAAATGAAAATTATAATAAAGGAAATTTAAAATTCATTGAATTTCTGCTTCGAGACAAAACAGAATAGTTTGTGATAGACCAGTCCTCCTGCCAACAACAACCAGAAAAGCTGAATAAAGTATAAAAAACAGTATTTGTTTAGAAGTGTTGAAGAGGATGTAAAATAAAGGCAAATAGAGAGACTAAGATTCCAGAAAGGAGAACAACAGAGAGGTAAACTGATGATCTGCAGCCACTTTTCCTTTGGAGGCATTTGCTGGTTCTGGGTGAAGATGAGGGAATTGATAATGTGGGCTCTGTCCTAGCAGAAGATTGCTTCTAGGAATAGGGAAACTAGCAGAGTTTTGGGCAATTTTGCAGGGCTGGAGTGACAAAATTGGAGACCTAAAGGGCCTGACACATATATCTAGTTGGCAAATTCTGAGATATCCTAAGTGAAAGATTAAAAAAGCTAAAATGAGAATTTCTAAAAAAGCTCAGTGAAGATATCACTTTCACCACTGAAGGCCCTAGTGAATTATGCAACAAGAAAGGAGGCAAACCAGAAACAACTGATCCTTATTCAAACTGGAACCCAGATTCAAGCCAACACAGTACTTTACTAGATAAAGGTGACTCGGTTTCATTCAGTCATCGCAGGAGAACAAAGGATAAACCCTCTTGGGAGGCAGACAAAATCATCTGGAGGTTCAGGTTACGTTACATTCAATCAAGAATTAATAGGCATGCCAAGAGACAAGATAGATGATAGAGAAAGACCCAGAGGTAATTCAGATATTGGAGTTAATAGGCATGGACTTTAAAGTAATCATGACCAGTATGTTCAGGAAAACAGAGGCAAAGGGGGAAGAAAATAGATTTAGGAAGATGAGTATTTCACTGGAGAATCAGAATGTACAAAAAAGAAAAAAAGAAATTGTAGAATTTAAAAATTCAAAATCTAAAGTTAAGAATTCAATAGATGGCCTTCAAAGCAGAACACAGGCTTACTGAAATAAAAGACAGGTAATAAAAAAAATTCAAAATTGTCCAGGTGTAGTGGCTCATGGCTGTCATCCCAGCACTTTTGGAGGCTACAATGGGAGGAATGCTAGAGGCCAGGAGATAGAGACCAGCTTGGGAAACCTAGCAACACCCCGTATCTTAAAAACACAAAAACAAAAACAAAAATCAAAACTGTTACACATATAGCTAGAAAAAAAGAACGGAAAATATAGGAACACAGTGAAAAGGTTAACATATATGTAATTGAAGTCTCAGGAGGAGAAAGAGATATTGACTAAAGATGTCCTAAAATTGAGAAAAGATGAAGACAGAGCTTTAACAAGGTCTCTGAATTCAAGCAAGAAATATAAAAAGAAGACCACATCAAGGCATAAAATAAAACTGCCAAAAAACAAAGTAAAAGAAAAAAATGTAAAAAGCAATCAGAGAAACAAAAAAGTTTACTTCAAGGAGACAATAAGACTGACGGCTGATTTCTAAACAGGTAAGAGAGAAGCTAGACATTAACAGGATGACATTTTAAAAGATCTACAGGAGGGCCTACACTTCTGGCTACATTGGAATAACAGGGACCAGATTTATCCTGCCACTGTCCTTAAAAAACTGAAAAACAACAACAACAAAACCAAAACCAACACCACCAACCAAATAAAAAGCAATAGTGAAAATACATGAAACAACGTTTTTGGACTTTGGACAATAGGCAGTCCAGGACAGTGAATCAAACAAATGAAGTGAGCCCTATGATTGCCCCCGCTTATAGTCTGGAGAATTTACAGAGTGTAGAGTGGGGCAACCAAACCAGAGCTTGGAAGTCTCCCTGAGTTGAGGACACAGAGTTGAGAATCTGGGGACACCAGAGCAGACAGAATTTACAGCTCAGAGTACTGGAGAGAAGAAATTATATGCAGAGAGGGCTGGGAGAGGCTGCACAGAGAAAAAGAGAGAGAGCGCGAGCGAGAATATACCAGAGAGCGAGTTTGGCTCTGAAGAGCTGTAGATCATTCCTTGAGTCTTTCTCTGAGTATTGATCAACACATATATGTGAGCAAATTAGCAAGGCCAGGGTAAAAATCACCAGGAAAGAAAAGGCAGAGCAATGACCTAAACTTACATATGGTCATCATATACTATAAAGAATATAAGGTAATATATTCAGAAGGGGATTGCCTTGGTTGTGAGGAAAACTCTGCTGTAGAATAGCTGCTCTGGTCTTGCCCATCAAAGCATAAAACAGCTTTAAAAGTATTATACTGTTTCTAAGTAATGTAACTGCATTCCTGAACAAAACTCAAAACATTTAAAAAAAATACAAAAATATTCAGCACCCAACACGATAAAATTTGCAATAACTGGCATTCAGTAAAAAGTTACCAGCATGTAAAGCAGAAAAATATAACCTATAGTAAGAAAAAAAAATCAGTCAATAGAAACAGGCCTGGAAATGGCACAGATAACATAATTAACAAACATGAACATTAAAACAGTTATTACAGCAATCCCTTTTTATCTGTGGGGGACACATTCCAAGACCCTCAGTAGATGTCTGAAACCAAGGATAGTATCGAACCCTATATAAATTTTTTCCTATATGTACATTTCTATGATAATGTTTAATTTCTAAATGGAGCATAGTAAGAGATAAACAATAACTAATAATAAAATAGAATAATTATAACAATATGCTGTGATAAAAGGCATGTGAATGTGGTTTCTGTCTCTCAAAATATCTTATGGTACCATACTTACCTATTTTTGGACCGTGGTTAGTTGTGGGTAACTAAAACCAAGGAAGTGAAACCACTGTATATGTTTTATGTTCCTGAAGATAATGCAAAGCATGAACAAGTTAAGGAGAGCCATACAAAATTTAAAAAACTCAATTCTAACTTATAGAGATGAAAAATACAATGTCCGTGAAGAAAGAGGCCCTGGATGGATTAACAACACATTAGACACTGCAAAAGAAAGATTAGCAAACTTGAAGACAAAGTAATAGAACTATCCAAAATGAAACAGAAAAAAATCGAAAAGAAATATAATAAAAATATAGTTAGTTAGAACGAATAAGATCTAATATTTGATAGCACAACAAGGTGACTACAGTCAATAATTTATTGTACATTTTAAAATAACTGAAAGGGTATAATTAATTGTAACAAAAAAGTAAATGCTTGAGGTGATGGATATCCCATTTACTCTGATGTGATTATTATGCACCGGATGCCTATATAAAAATATCGCATGTGCCCCATAAATATATACACCTACTATGTACACACAAAAATTAAAAATTAAAAAAAAAGAATGAAGCATGAACAAGTTGTAGGATAACTTTAAGTAGCTTAATATCCAGAGAATAGTAGTTCCAGAGAAAGAAGAAAAAGTGATAGGGAAATATATTGGAAAAAATAATGGCTGAAATTTTCTGATAAAGACTGCAAACATGGATCCAAGAAGTTCAGCAAACCACAGGCACAAAAACATGCAGAAATCGACACTACACATCATAATCAAATTGATTAAAACAAGTGACAAAGGGAAAATCTTTAAAGCAGCTAGAGGACACATAATGTACAGAAAATAAAAATAAGAATGACAGCAGGAACAAAGCAAACCAGAAATATTAGAGCAACGTCTTTAAAATACTGAAAAAAATCCACAAAACCCTGTAAACCTCAAATTCTATATGCAGCATTTTTTTCACAGAATGAAGGCAGAAAAAGAGTCACATTTTCAGACATACAAAAGTTGAACCAACAGTTCTTCACTAGTATAGATGATAAATACTTTGGGCAGAAGGAAAATGGTAACAGGTGGATAACATGGATGTATGCAAAGAAAATAAGGGCGCTAGAAATGGTAAATATGTGAGTAAATATCACATACGTTCATTCTTATTTTAAAAATTTTCTTAAATATAATTACTTTTTAAAGTTAAAAAAGTTACAATTATGTGCATATGTAGAAGTAAAATGTGTGACAAATCACAAAGGTCATACATCATGAAACAATAATTTAGCAAAGTAATGTGATAGTTTAGATATTACCAGTTTATAGAATTTTTGCCCCAAAGACACCTGCTGCCCACTTCCACTGCATTCCTCTTGTACTCATGTACTAAATTCTAAGTTCACTCCAGGTGATAACAGTGCTACATAGTCTGTTTACATTTACCTTATCATGATTGAATAATCAAATGCAACAGAAACAGTGTTTTTAGATTTCAGCTATTGACAGCAAAATTCCACGTACATATTCCAAAGTGAGTAGAGGTGCTTTATGGTAGATTTGAGTCAGTCTATTATTTTTTAATTAAAATAATTTGATCTCCCCTCTTAGGTTCTTTCTAACCATAATCACTAAAAATGATATTTCTCTTCAATATTTTATTGCTATAATTTTATTTTATATCTAAATAGTTTTGAAAGATTCCTAAGGTGCCTAACAAATTTGTTCATATTGACATTTATCTTTATTAAATTTGTAAAGGAAGTCAGACAGTTTGACAGTGAACTTAATCTGTTTCCTTACTGCAATATATTTTATACTGCATATCTAGTACACTGTCTTCAGGATTGTACATTTATACATTTGATTAAGATCGATGTATAAGAATTGCATTGAACTATGTATAGGATTTGCAATAGGGGATTTTATTTGAATACAAAGTAAATATATATTTTAGACATTTGGGCTTGTGCATTAAAATACATCTTTGTTAATAATCAGATAGTCCAGAAATTGGTGGCTTCTAAAATACTAGCATACACCAAAACTATATTTAGAAGACAATTAGATTAAAAATTAAGCATATAAAGACTTCTGCAAAGGAATATCATTATATACAATATTTTAATGATTCTCAAAAATACACATTTATCATTGTCAAATTCTATTTATGAAGTCCTACATTAAATAATTCAACTTTTAGAAGTTTAACTTAACTTACGCTAAAACATGTAATAAAAAAGTTTTTTTTTTCTAATTTCAGTATATATGCTGCCGAAGCGAGCACAAGAAAACCTTTTCAAAAAAGATTATTCTAGTAAAAGGAGTACAAAAAATTTGGTAACTTGAGATGCTCTTCTGGAACGTATGCTGCTAGTTTAAATGTGCAAGCTCCAACTTAACAAATGCTTAAAATATTTGAGTTTTTAAAACAGTGCCAAAACAAACCACATCTTTTCTAGAGATGACATATTTAGCTAAGCACGAGCAAAATAAATCTCTCAACCATTCCATGTATTTGTTTAAAAGCCTAAGAAACCACGTGCATTTCCAATAAAACATGAACAAAATACTGAAATCACTGGAGCCTAACAGTTCATTTATAAATGATTTTTTAAAAAGGTAAATGTATCAGTGTGTGTGCATGCATATATATGTAAAATATGAATAGATAGGTTAGCTGTAAATACTAGTTACCAACAACACAATAAAATCAGTAAAAAATGTGGGTTCCAAACACATCATATGTGAAAAGACAAAAATGTATGAGCCATGGCTATTTCATCATACAATGCCTTATTAATCACAACTATTTGAAACTAGAAACTTTAAAAATAATTGTGATCTTTAAGAATAGTACATATAAAATGTTTTTCTATGAAACTATATTCAATATTAAAAGTATACACTTTAATATTCTAGCTTTTTAATAAAATAAACTAATTATATAAATAAGTGACCTGATAAGATGATAGGACTGAGTTTATTTGAATAAGGAAATATACAAAGGATCAACTTTATCATTGAAAAAATAAGCAAAATATTTTATTGCATAAAGTATTTAAAATACATTAATAATTTCTAACTTATTTATAAAATTTTAAATTCTCATATATTAATAATTAATAACTTTGCTTTAACTGCTTATACCTTGCTTATAACCAATAACTTTGCTTATAACTGGTTTTAGCTCTAAATTGCTCTAGGAGATACAGCAAGGCTTGAAGTTTAGACTACCATGTTATAAAACTAAGCTGACAGGTTTTAGCATCAGGCCAAATTAAAAATAGTACAAAGAGACTCATGATATGTTTTATTAGGAATGAATTGTCACAATATTCCTAATTAGTGAAGGCTGAGGCAAAGCATACTGCCACTATAATACCACAGAGAAGTGGTAATAATGTGATGCTGTTTACACATGCAATTCACATTATTGTACTTCATTGAAAGAAATGTGTACAATCTTTTGATTACTAAGGAATTCGTATGTAGTATGTGAAAGAAATGGTACTATAACAACATAAATTGCAAGAGTTAAAATCTTTACTTTGAAATTTTTTTCTTACAGAGAGATTTACAGACTCATAGTTACATGGAATGTGGTTATAAGATCTTAGTTCCAGGTCCCAGCCAGTCCTTGGCAAATTTCAAGACTTACTGAGTCTGTTTCCTCATCTGTAGAATGAATATAATAATAATTATAATGACAGTAATACTAAAATTATCATCATCATCATCATTATTATATGGGTTATATATAATTTATTATTATTATGATTGTTGATAGGATCAAATGAAAAGAAAAACAGATGTAAAACGACTTTGTAAATCAAGTGCTACAAATGTTAGTATTAGCATTTCTGCCTTTCCTCTAAGTTACTTATTTTTACAAGAAGAAGTAAATTCTCATATTACTATAGGATTTAGTAGATGATGTATAAAACAAACTCAAAGCAACATTTCTCAGCAGTGTGGAATACTTCTAAAGTTGCATTATTGTTGAATATATAGAGAACCTATCTTCAGTAGGCAAGGCTATTCATTCATACAGAAAAAATATATAAAGACCATCTGACACACTGTTGATGGACACTTTTAAGTGTAAGAAATTAAGATAATATTTGGCTGTAATACTTTGAACTTGAAATTTTGTAGACAACTCATTTTCAAGAGGATGTGATATTTTTGGGAGATTACCTATACTGAACAACAGTGGATGTTACAATTATTTTGCAAATTTAACTTTATAATATCATATTCTATAAAAGTTCCACATCTTAATTATAGGAATTGGTTATTCTAATTTGATCATTTAAGTGTAGAAATATTTGTTTGGAAATCGTGAAATGTGTTTATACTATATTTTGTGTCTTCTAAAAACTCAGACAAAATAACTCAAGAAAAGTTCATCTGTTTTCAGGATTAAACTGAAAATTCAAGTTTACTTGTGACTTATTTTAAGTGAGATCAGGAATGGACTATTTCATGACAAAAACTTTCTCATTACTTACCTGCACCTCCCAGATGACTTTAAAGATGCTCTTTCTTCACATAGGGAGCTGTTACACGTTTCAAATAGAGCCCAGAGACAAAAACTGCATGCATGACTAAATCATTACATATTTCTCTATTATAGAGTCATTGGTCTATGAGAGGATATAATTATCTTTAGGACTATAGAGCAAATTAAACTAGTTTGTTTTAACCTCTGTTGTCCCTTATTTTCTAATTCTCATAGTTAAAAAAGGTACTTCAATGGATACAGATTTAATAAGGAAGAAATAGAGTTTGTTAGTACTATGATTCTTTTGTCACCTATGACAAAGTAGCTTACATTTTCCTGTGGAGTAAAACAAAATTCAAATGGATAATCTACTATAGTATATGAAAGAATGGAGAAATAAATTGTCCTGAATGTACTTATCCTGTAAATAGGCAATGGTAGATAATTTAGCCCAATCTTAAAGATGAATTAAGAATATATAGACTTAGAAAAAAATTTTACTTGCCTACAAAATTTTCACTAATTAAATCGCAACTTGTCTATTTCATTCTGTTCCAGGCACAGTCATTTCCTCTTGGTCTTTCATCTGTCTCATCTAAAAATATGAAAGTATTTTCTTTATAGCTAATTACATAAAAATCTCAGTTCTATTCATAACTTCATATGACTGCTATGCTGTAATGATCTTATTTCTGAAATAAAATAAAAAGCAGGTAACCTCAACCAAATGGCAAGTTTACTTTTTTCTGAATTCTTATATTTCTACATTATAATTTTATTGTATATTATGTATTAGATCCCCCTCCTCCACAACAAAAATCAAATGGCAATTAAAAAAAGATAAACAATAAGAACACTTAACAGGTTTGATGGTCTCTGTTCTTTTAAGACAGAGGCATGCTAATTTTCAAGCAAAAATGACAGAGATTTATAGCTTAAGTAGAATTTAGATAATTATTCAGACCCAACATTAAAAAATACTGACAATGTGAATTTATAAGTACACATTAACAGTCTGCTCTTTTTATTGAAACAGTTTGCATTATTTACAGTGAAACAAAAATCATGCCTTGATGAATGTAATTTTAATATATCCATCTCTTATTAAACAAATTATACATTTAATTCATGGCATCTATATTTAATATCTTTTAATACTAACAAAGATTACATACATGCATTGAAGGAAGACTACACACTCATGTTTAGGCCTCTCTCATCAGTTAAGAAATATTGAAAAATGCATGTATTTGAAGTTTTGACCTAACACAGTGGATTAAAGCTTAGACAATATTTACTTTGCTGCACTTTGATTCAGAAAGGGCCACATGTGAAGATATGATACTAACCAACTTTAACATGTTTCTATAATGATCTCTCAGTAAAAAGATTTATATTAAAGATATTGAGATATAAAATAGTTACAAAATAAGCTGTAACCTTATAGCTACGCATTGGTAAAAGTCTGTAGTTAATATATTTGGATAAATAACTCAAGTCAGCAGCAAAGTGGTTAAACATTTGTGATTTGATTTTATCTCAGCTTGGAATGTGGTTGGAGTGTCCCACTTCTAACAACTGTTTGCTAAGTTAAGGCTTTAGTGTTTACACAGTGTTGAATGAAGCAGCCTGGTCACCAGATGTGATCGCTTCCCCAGACTGTCGTTTTTTTTCAATCAGATCACTGTCCTCATGGTCCCGGTTCCAACCTTCTTTCTCAGTACATCCACCAGCCTTTCCAACCTAAGTTGGGGTTGGGATGGGGGTGAGAAGGGGGAAAAAAAGGGCAATTATTGTTAAGAATGTCCTGGCTGATAAAGGACAGTATTTGCCTGTGACCAAGCAGTCCTCACAGTCATGTTAAGAAACAAAGCATTACTGTGAAAGACACTGCTACAGAGTGCCAAGTATCTGAGGTTTCAAAAACCAGCAGTGACACAAACTTTAACCCAGATCCTTGAATTATGTCAGCATTAGATGCCACACAAAGTGGCATCTAATAAGATACTTACTTCAATGCATTTACCTACTTGTATTAATGTTGTGAATGAATCATTTAGTATGCAATGACAGGATCACATATTAAATGTAGAATAAACTGATTTTTACCTAAGAAAAGCACATATTTCAAAACAGAAATACCAGCAATGTTTCACTTGTTACTTAGCTAGATAAGTGATTCACTGGTTGGTATACTGTGTAACTTCTATGAGGTACTAAATTCCCATCTTTTCATAGAATCAGCTGATAAAAATAAAGCCAGAAATTATGTGGCTAGGTGGAAAAAATTTCAAGTTACAGTAGAATGGAAATAATTTAAATATACATAATGATTTGATACTAAGGAAACCAGACTTTTTGTTCTAATTAAAAAACAAGTTTCTATTTCTGAGTAGCATAAATACACTGGAAATTACCTACATAGACTTTTTCGTCAAAGAAAATGATTTTTTTTGGTTGATTAAAAACTAGTCAATTAAATCGAAAAGAGAGTCGAAAGTTCAGAAGTCCATTCTGCAGTGTTCTTAGACTACTCTATGAGCGGGAGGTCACATTCACGTGGATCAGTGAGAGTTTTGCTTGACAAAAGATGATAGAATCAGACCATTAATTGGTTTTCTTCTTTTATTTTCTTTACTGAAAGCATAAAACCTCAACCAAAAATCTTGCTTGATGTTATACACACAGAAATCTTCCTTATAAGTAAATATCATGCCTAGCAGTTTTCATATACACAATCTTTCTCTCTCAAAGACTGGTAAGCGGCACAGTCTAGTCTGCTTCACAGTTTGCCTCATTTATATGGATCCATGCATGAGGGTCCTCTGCAAATAAACACAGCACAGAGCTAGACACGAAAGGAATGAGGGTATTCTTAGTGTCATATACGCTGGGTTAGAAGATTTGGAAGTTTCAGTAAGGAATGGACAAATCAACTGCATATAATGCTGAAAACTAGCTGAAGTTTATTGGATGATTTTGTATCTATCAAGAATTCTGTTAACAAAAAACAGGAAAATAAAACAAAATCATTCAGTACATCAAAAAACTTTGCTCTAAGAAATACAGTAATGATCTTAGAGTAAAAAGGCAAATCTTGTCTAAGTTCATTACTACAAACTTTTCTAAAATGCAAACTATACATAAATGTTGTATATCCACTAAAACAGTCTAGTGGTACAAATACCCGAACTAGAAGAGTCATTAGAAAATTCACTGTATTCTCAGATTAGTCTGCAGTACTTGAACCTTCCCTAGTGGTTAAAAACTAGTGCTAACTTATACACTCTGAATATTATGACTCATAGGACTACATGAATCCTTTAAGGCAATATTTAATTAACTTGAGTTGTGGATGAGGGGAAAGAAAAATGTATGAATTACAGAATTACACTATGAAATTTTAAGTTTATTGTTAAAATCTGATAGTAACTTGAAATAACCATTAAACAGCTCCCAGCAGAAATCATTATAAGACATTAGTAGCACTTCTTTGCATATATTGTTAAAAGCCAGAAAATATTACTTGCAAACTGGCTAAATGTATCCCTTCTCCATAATATAACTTATACTACTAACTAGTGAAAAAACCTTCTTCACAATATAAAAGCTCTATTTTGTCTAGTTATTATTATTGTTACTATAAATTCAGAATCAGTGGAATCCCAAATTATTGAGATGAATCTGTGTTGTGCTTCTTCTGGCTTCTCCTTTACAGACAGGCTCATCTTACTTTTGTTTCCTTTTTCTACATTAGGACATCTTTCCATTTAGAATTCTTATATCTTGTTAAGGCGAGAGATTAGGAGGAAATACTTAAATATCATGTTTTGCAATGTCTTCATTATATTTCAACAATTACCAGATCAACTACATTCTCAATTTATCCAGGTCGAATGATTTATGAAAATCTGCTCTCAGAAATGAGAAAAATGTCACTTACTTAGTTTTGTGAAAGCTTACTGACTTCTGTAGCACAATGAAGCACCTATTCCTTCCTGTAAGGAATGGAATACACCTGCCAAACATGGGCTGTGCCAACAGGAAGGTAGACATGTGTGTCTGTTGAAGCACCTTGCAGGATTTGCCTGCAGGCTATTCTTACTATCCAAATCAACAATGTCCTTAAAAAATTATGTAGCTCACTAAAATAGGCTCCAGATGCTTTAAATATTACTCCATAATATCTTCCCAACAGCATCATGAAACACGAAAAGGGCTAGAGCTAGGATTAGGATTTCTCCATTTTAAATATGAAGAAACTGAAGAACAGACAAGTAAACCCTTATACAAGATTGTGAGGTAAAACAGTGATAAACCTGGGCCTGGTTTCCTTGTTTTTAGTTCAGAGCTATTTCCATTACGGTTTGAGTTACTATAGACCTACAGATTTCACATTACAGGTTAATGAACTATTTGTCTTAGTAGCATCATTAAAAAATTTTCCTCAAGTTATTCAGTTTATCTGAGGACATATTTGCTGGTGTGTTTCATCTGGTATTCTAGTAACAACATGTTATAAGAAATTAAATTACAACCACAGAACATACATTCTTCTCATCTATACAAAAAACATATTCTAAGATCAACCACACGCTTGGTCATAAAACAAGTCCTCATAAATTAAAAAAATAAAATCATACCAAGCACACTCTCAGACTACAGTGCACTAAAAATATAAATCAATAACAAGAAGATCACTCAAAACTACACAAATACATGGAAATTAAACAGTTTCCTCCTGAATAACTCCTGGGTGAATATCAAAATTGAGGCAGAATCAGAACATTCTTTGAAATGAATAAAAACAGGTATACAAATTACTAAAGTCTCTGGGATGCAGCTAAAGCAGTGTTGAGAGGAAAGTTTATAGTGCTAAATGTCTTCATCAAGTAGTTGTGAAAATCTCAAATTAACAATCTAACTGCATCTAAAGGAACTAGAAAGAAAAGAATAAATCAATCCCAAAGTTAGTAGAAGAAAATAAATAACTAAAATTAGATAAGAACTAAATGAAGTTGAGATGCAAAAACCCATACAAAAGATCAATGAAATCAATTTTTCAGAAAAATAAAGAAGACTGATAGACTGCTAGCTAGATTAATAAAAGGAAAAAAGAGAGACGATCGAAATAAGTACACTCAGAAATGACGAAGATGACATTACAACTAATCCCACAGAAATATAAAAAATCATCAAAGAATACTATGAACAACTCTATGCACACAAATTAGAAAATCTATAGGAATAGACAAATCAGATGAATCGGTAATAAAAGATCTACTAACAACAACAACAACAACAAAAGCACTGGACTGGATGGACGCACAGCTGAATTCTACGAGACATACACAGAAGAACTGGTACCAGGCCTACTGGAAACTATTCCAAACAATTGAGGAAGAGGAGCTCTTCCTTAACTTATTCTATGAAGCCAGCAATAGCCTGATATGAAAATTTGGTAGAGACACATGAAAAAAGAAAACTGCAGGCCAATATCCCTGATGAACTAAGACATAAAAAATCCTCTACAAACTATTAACAATCTGAATCCAGTAGCACATTAAAAAGTCAATACACCATGACCAAGTAAGCTTTGTTCTGGGATGCAAGGCTGGTTCAACATATGCAAATCAATAAATGTGACTTGCCACATAAACAAGCCACAATGACTTTTGCACCAACCTATAGGAATTACCATCAGATTACAAAACCAAAGTATATAGGGGGGTAATTTGATAAGAGCCATATAGCTAATGGGTTTTGAAACTGAGACATGATGCTAGGTCTAACTACCGTGTTCCTGATTGCTCCAATTTGCCACAATGCTTCCAAAAGTATAGAGACTTTTAAGGCTTATTCCTGAATTTTTGTGGCTTGAATTACTCTTATTGACTAGGTAATTTATTGCAAAGGGACAGGAAGGAGTAAAAGCAGAACAAATTCCTCATCATTAATTGAATTGTACGAAAGTAAATATCTCATTGTAGATTCCCTTTTTGAAAATAATTTTTGTATTTGTCAATGTGAGAATAGGAAAATTCTTATTGGTTACTTTCTTTCCAGAAAAAAGCATTCCTATTACTTAGGCAATGAAGTTGGCTTTTTGTTTATTTTTCCTTTCCAAGAGGAAAAAACCAGGGAAATCCAAGAGAGGCAAATAACAATTATCCTTCCAGAAGAGGAGACAAAGTCACTAAAAATGCTGCAGCTAGGGTTTGCCATTAGTATTCAAGATCTTGCCCCCTTTCAATCAGAAGGATGAGAAGACTTTAAATATGATTTTTGTTTCTATTATCACTATGGTTGTTGTTTTGTTGGTATTTTTAATGTTGATGTATTTTATCATCTTTTCTTTACATTTTGCTCCCTTGATGACACTTAAATGCTCATGACTTCCAAATTTAGACCCCTTTCTCAAAATTCTCTTCTGCATTTTAGACTCACTTATCCAACTGCCTTCAAGGTATCTCCTCTTGCTTATACTGTTGGCATATGATACTCAGTATATTTAAAACATAACTATTTTAATTCTTATGCATGTTTCAGTATTTCTTGTCTTGATTAATGTTGCCATCCATTCACTCACTCGATCTTTCAGCTAAAATATTTAAGAAAAACTTGGTATGTTATTTATTTTATTCTTTACTTCAATTTGAACCTGTGAAAACTTTGTGATGAAACTGCTGATGTAGACAGTGGAACACAATGAAAGGGTTTTAACTCATCTAGTAACATAATTT